ACATTGCCTTGGAGCTTCAGAGCTTTATTCAATTCAGTTCTCAACTTCTCTTGCCTTGTTGCAACAGCCTCTTAACCCATCTCCCTCTTACATCGAGGACTGTTGTGAGGAAAGCACCTAGCACAGAGCTGAACAAAGTAACCAATAAGTGCAAGGCCCCCTCTAATCTCCTCCATGCTGGTGCCAGATTTCTACGCCTAAAAGTCTTCTTCCCTCTGATGATGGATGAATATCCCAGCTCGTAGCCAACCTCTCCACTTGTATACTTGCGTACTCAAGGACATCACTTCAGCAATTCTCCCTCTCTCTTCTGCAGTATCAATTTCCCCCTCTACTGGGTCCTTGTAGTCAACTTACAAACATTATTTCCCCCACCATGAAAACAAACAAAAACGAATAACCTTTTTTTAACTCTACTTCCTCCTCCAACTGCCACATTTTCTTCTTCCCTTTGTAGCAAAACTTCTATTCAACATTTTCGATACCTCTCCTATTCTCTCCTGAACTTACTACTCCAATCAGATTTTTGTCCCCTACATGCCACAAAATTGTTCTCAAAATCGCCAATACCTCCACCTTGGTAAATCAAATGACCATTTCTTAATCATCATATGGTTTGATCTGCAAGCAGCATTTAACACAGTTGATTACTCTTTGTCCCCTAAAACAATTTCTTCACTTGTCTTCCAGGATTTCTCCCTGTCCTGGTTTTCCTCTTTTCGCCTGTTCCTTCTCAGTGTCTTTTGCGGACTCCTCTTCATTTTCCCAATTGCTAAATATTGGAGTTGCCCCAAGATTGAGTCATCAGAACTTTTTTCTTTTTTTTCCCCCCTCTCTACACTCATTTCCCAAGTAATTTCTTCTGATCCCTTGGCTTTTAAATATTATCTTTATTCTGAAAACCTCCAAGTTCATATTGCAGTCTGGACCTCTTTCCTGAACTCAGGTCCTCCTATGAAACAGCCTACTTGCCACATCCCCTTGGGTGTTTAATAGACATCTCTCACTTATGTTCAAAACCAAACTTTTTTTTTAATCCTTACTTTTGTTAAAGGCAGAAGGTGTCTCATCTATTCTCAAAACTTTCCATTGGCTTTTTATGTCATGTAGATAAAAACCCTTCCCCTCCATAACCCTCATCTGCTAATATTCTCATCCTTCTTCCACTCTAACACACTGGTCTTCCCCTTGTTCTTGAAACTGGCCAGGCATGCTCTTGCCTCAGAACCTTTTCACTTTTTTATTTCTGTGTCTGAATTCATTTCTCCAAGACATCTGTATGGTCCACTCCCTTGTTCCCTCAGGTCTTTACTGAAAATGTATCTGTGTAATTATAAATCTCCCTAATTGACTAAAACAACAACTATAACTTAATCTTCTTTAAGTCTCCAGCCCAGCTATCACTCAAAACATATTTAATAAATATTTGTTGAATGAAGAAATGAGAGGAGGTGAAGGGAAGAGAGGTCTCCCATTTCCCTAGTGAGTTCTGGCACTGATAGAATGCTTCTTCTTTTTTTTTTTTTTAATCCTCACCCGAGGATATTTTTCTATTTATCTTCAGATAGAGTGGGAGGGAGGGAGAGAGAGAGGGAGAGACAGAGAAACATTGATGTGAGAGAGACACACCAACTGCTTGCTTCCCGCATGATCCTGACCAGGGCTGGGGATGAACTGCAACCAGGGTACATGCCCTTGACCAGAATCGAAGCTTCGACTCACTGGTCCGATGGCCAATGCTCTTAATTGCTGAGCCAAACCGGCCAGGGCAATATAATGCTTCTTGATAAGATTATCAATATCAAACTTTCTCCTAACATTCACTCAGTTAACTATATAACTTACAAAGTGAATCCCAACCATTCATACAGTCCTTTTCATGAAGTGGAGAGAGGGCAGGAGTTATGAATTTTATTTTACAAATGAGAAAACCAAGGCTCAGAGAGATGAAATGACTTGCCCAAAGGTGCATTACAAAGTTGTGACAGCCAATACCTGAATCCAGGTATCTGACTCTAAGTCCAAAGCTTTTCCATGAAGAAAAAGGGAAAGAGAAGTTGGAATCCTGGTGATTTCATCTTAAGGAGTTACTCTGAAGCCTTACACCTCCCCTTCAGCTGGTTTCACAATGGATTCTGAACCTTCCCACTAGGAATTTACCTTAGGGATACATTTTATAAGCATCCATTTGCCTTATACCAACCTCTTCCTTCTTTATCATTAATTAATCACCTACTGTCACTTATGTCCACCGTCCGTGGGAGCCGCTCATGGACCACTTCACCCCTACAGTATCATTAGCAGTTCAAAGAGCACTTGGCATTAGGAGTAAGAAGATCAATAAGACAGATCATGTCCTTAAGAAGCTCAGCCCAAGTCTGTTCCCTTTCACTCCTTGAATATACCATTTCCTCCTTCTGGAATATACAGCTCTCCCAAATCTTCCAACTTTGGGCAATTTGTTGCTCTCTCCTCAATGTTTCCAGAATACTTTGTTTCCATCTCTGTTATAATTTATCATGTAACCACAATGACTTGCTTATGTCTCTGTCTCTTGAGTAGAATGTAGCTGTTCAATTCCATAGTGTGTATGCAGTCTTCAGTCAGCGATCTCCCTGCCAACCCTCTCCTGGCCTTGGAACACCCCTCCCCTCTCCCATGATATGCCATAACCCGGACTGCTCAATCTTTTTGACCACTCTTTTGTTTTGATTTTTTTAACCTCACCCGAGGACATTTTTTGATATTTTTGTTCAGATAGAGTGGGAGGGAGAGAGAGAGAGAGAGAAACTTCGACGTGAAAGGGACACATCGAGTGGTCGCCAACCACACGACCCAATCAGGGCCGAGGACAAACTGCAACCGAGGTACGTACCCTTAGCGGAACCGAACCCGGGTCTCTCCAGACCGCAGGCCAACGCTCTAACCGCTGAGCCAAACCGGCCAGGGCTTTTTGACCACTCTTTAGACTCATTTGTTGGCTCAACATTTTTCAGGCCCTGAATATACATGTGTCTTAAGGTGGGGCTCTTAGTCTATATGACTCTTCTTTGCTCTAGTCTTTCAGTTTAAACTATCATATTGACTGGAAGTTTCCAAAATATTCATTCTCCGCCCTTTTCTGAGCTCATTTCTACATGCATCTCAGATATCTTGTGGCTATTTCAATCTCAGATAGTCTAAAACCAAACTCCGGTCACCTCCCTCAAGCCAGTTCCTCCTATGAGAGCTCCATTTCTGTGAAGAAACTACCATCCATCTTTCTGGACTTGCCACTACTCCACACGCACACCCCATCCCAGAAAAAGAAAGTGTTCTGAGGTCAGATTGCTTCAACTGATCTATTTCATAGGGTTTACTTATGTGGATTAAATGAGATATAACACGGTAAACGGCTTAGCCCAGGGTTTGGTATATAGTAGGCATTCAATAAATGTCAATTATTTTGTTATCATTAGTTCTTATACCTAGACTATTGCAGTAGTCTCCCAACTAATCTGTCTGCCTCCTCTGGGTCTTGTTCTGTACATCGGGAGGGGAATTAATGTGGAACATCTATTAAGTGCTAAGCAGTTCATCCTTACAGCAACCGTATGCAATAATGTCAGCATCATTTTATAAAAATGGAACAGAGCCAAGATGTGAACATAGGTCTGATTCTAAAGCCTGTTCCCTTCCCACACTTCAAATTACCAGGTAACCTTAAAACACCATTTCCACACCTCATCCTGCTCAAAAACATAAACAAACAAACAACCCACAGAAAAACCTTCAATCACCACCACTCCCATTTCCTTTCAGAACATAACCCAAATTCATTATCCTAGGAATTAAAGTCTTGTACTATTTCCCTCACTTCCCAGCACTTTCCTATGGAAACCCTGTGTTCCAGAGAAACGGATTTGTCCCCATCACATCCTGTCCATCCTCTCATCTTCCTACCTGACATGCCCTCTCCATTCCCTTTTCCCTTGTTTCAATCTGCCCTTCCTTCAAGGCCTAGCTAGAGTCCCACCTGCTCCATACACCTTCCCTGATTCCCCAGTCTCCATTAAGTCTCCCCTACCCCCAAGCACCCTTTTTGACCCTTGGTGTTTGCTACCCTGTGTTTCTTTGCGCTGATGTTTTTGTCACTGAGCTGCAAACCTCCACACTTCAGGTAACTAGCCGCCTTTTCTTTTGTATCCAAAGAGTCCAGAGTTCTACATATATATAGAAAGCGCACAATAAATTTGGGTTGTTTGGGATGACAGATGATCTTCCCAGCTGGGCGATCTCTCTCCCTCTGGGGGGTGAGGGAATGAGCTTCACCTTAATTTCACCTAATGTCGCCCAGGTCTGCCTCGCTGAAACACTCCTCAGCTCTATTCTTCAGTTTCTCACCCTCCCTGCCCAGGTTAGACCCTCAGACCCTCTCCTCCAGGACTGTTTCTTTAACTCCTCTTCCAACCGCGCCACTAACCCCAGGACAGCTCCTCAGTCCCCTCCCCCAGGCCAGCCCCCTTAGACCCTCTCCCCGGAGCCAGTCCTTTGGCTTCGGACCCTCAACTCCTACATCCTCCCCCACCCCCAGCCATCACGTGGTTCTGTCTCCAGGATTATTTGTTTAGCCTCTTTCCCCTCCCTCAGGGCTGCCCCTCAGGACCCCCTCCTCCAGTCCCACCCCTTTGGACGCTGCCTCCAGAGCTGTTCTTTTGGCCTCTGCAACCCCCTCCCCAGCCCCGCTCCTCGACCGGTGCCCCCGGGCTGGCTCGGAACCGCCACCCCGCGGGTCCCGCCCGGGTGCTGCCCCCGCGCCCCTTGCCGCCCCCCGCCGGGGCGGGGCGCGCGGAGGCGGGGGCGCGCTGGCGGCCGAGGCGGCGGCGGCGGCGAAGACAGGCGGGCCGGGCGCGTGTCCGCAGCGCCGTGACTCGGCGGCTCCGCAGCGGCTGCAGCGGGAGGACCCGGCCGGAGCCGCCGCCGCTGCCGCCATCGCAGCCGGGCGGCCGGGCCCCGCCGCGGGGATGCCGAGGAGCCGGGGCGGCCGCGCCGCGCCGGGGCCGCCGCCACCGGGCCGGGCCCCGCGCTGGAGCGGCTGGCGGGCCCCCGGGAGGCTTCTGCTGCTGCTGCCCGCGCTCTGCTGCCTCCCGGGCGCCGCGCGGGCGGCGGCGGCGGCGGCGGCGGCGGCGGGGGCTGGGGACCGGGCGGCGGCGGCGGCGGCGCGAGCGGCCGAGGCGGAGGCGCCCTTCGCCGGGCAGGTGGGGCTGGTGCGCGGGGCCGGGGCGCGGGCTCGGGGCCTCTGGGCAGGGCGGGGGGGCGGCGCCGGGGTTGGGCCGCGCCTGCCGCCGGGGTAGTGGAGGTGCGCTCCGGGGTTCCGCGCCTGGGGGCCGGGGGTCCCGCGGCGTCCCGGGGCGGGGGCTGGAAGGGCTGTGCCGAGGCCGCGGGGGCCCGGAGCCGCTTCAGCACCGTGGACAGGGGCAGCGGGCGAGGGCGGAACCGAGGGTCGGGAATGTTGTGGTGGCGGTGGGGTGTGTGGCCTGCATGACTGTGTGTGAGGGAAACCGTACAACGCCTCGGAGTAAATAGTAAGCGCAGCCAGTGTGTTGTGGGTTGGGAGAAGAACCCGAGGCTGTTCAAACTGGAGAAGAGAGGATGGGGTGGGGGCTGGGGGCGAGGGAACGGGAAAGGACTCGATCACTGTCTTCATATCCGAAGGGCTGTCACGTGCAGGAAGGATAGGCTTGCTCTGCGTGGCCCCAAGGGGCAGAACTAGGGCCAGCAGGGGTGGGGGTAGGCGTTGCAAGAAGGCAAATTTCGGCTCAATATAGGAAGAAGTTTGTAACAATCGGAGCTGCTCAACCAGCTTCGGAGGCGGTGAGCTGCTCCTTGCTGGCGTGTGCAAGCAAAAGCTCCAGGAGGGGATCGGAGGGATACAGGCATAATACCTGCACGGATACATGCATCATAATAACAACAATGCCAGCGAGCTCTTACCGAGCACTCACTACGTGCCAGGCCTGGTGCTGCGTTGCATATGAATCAGTATCGTATTTAATCCTTATAACTACTCTAGGAAATAGGTGTAATTATTATCCCCATGCCCACCTGTCCTTCCTTCAGTGGAAATAGAGAACTTAAGTAACTTTCCCAAGGTCATATGGCTAGTGAGTGATGAAGTTGGAATTCTAGCCTAGGCCGACTGTTTCTAGTCTCTGTATATTTAACCATAACTTTATTCTGTATCACATAGGGGTGAGGACAATGGACTAGGTAATTTCTTCCATCTCTTCCAACCTAGAGGTCTGCAATTTTAGCAAGTGATGTTGTTTGAAATTGTGTTTTGTTTTGTTTTTGATGAGGAAAATCAGAGTGATTGCCTTAGTAAGTCCTAAGAGATGGAGTGTGCTTGCCTAAGCAGGCAGTTTATTTGTTCAGAAGAATCTGCCAGAATGGGAATTGGGCATTTAACTCTCTGAAATTTTGTGCAAAATTGTGTTTGTATGTGCAAATGTGTTTTTCTAGGAGAGAATCCATAGATTTCTTCAGACTCTCAACAGGATACATGATCCAAAAAACTTAGGGTGGGTAGCCCAGGCAGGTGGCTCAGTTGGTTGAGTGTGGCCCTGTACACCAAATAGAAAGAAAAAAAAGAAGGTGCCAGGATCAATTCCTGATCAGGGCACATGCCTAGGTTGTGGGTTCAATCACAGGTGGAGGTGCGTGCGGGAGGCAACCAATCAATGTTTCTCTCAGACATCAATGTTTGTTTCTCTCTCTCAAATCAATAAAAATATCCTGGGATGATATATATATATATTTTTAATTAGGGTGGGTAGAAAGTCTTTTTAGCCTCAGTTAGTAATTGTCTTTCAAAGATCTTATAATTGCTGGCCTACTTTTTAAAAAATGTTTTTATTGATTTTTTTAGAGAGAGGAAGGGAGAGATAGAAACATGGATGTGAGGGAGAAACATTGATCAGCTGCCTCCTGCACGCCACCTACTGGGGATCAAGCCCGCTGCCCTGACTGGGAATCGAACTGGGACTTCTCAGTCCATGGGACAATGCTCAATCCACTGAGCCACGCCAGCTGGGCTGCTGGCCTACTTTGAATGAAAACTTTCCCCAGCCTGTTTTTGTTTTCATCTTTATTATAACTCAACATAATGTGTTTCATGAGTTTATACTCTATAAAAAGTAGGATTCCTTTAGTCCTCCTGATTGCACACGGTGAGGTGGAAAGACCCTGACCTGGGATTTAGGAAGCCTGGGTTCTAATCTGGCTCATGGTGGTTTCGGTGGCCTTGGGCCATTTCCTTGCCTTCTCTAGGCATGGATTTTACCATCTCAAATATGAAGGGATAGGGCCAGGTGATCTCAACTCTGAAACCCTTTTATTCCTATGATATTTCAAGCATTAAGAGGAGACTGTTTGCTTGCATATGTCAGGATTTGGAGAAAGTTATGTGTATCCTTATCCTGATTCGTTTTATAGGCTTTGAATGAGCTACCTCTCTTAGCCTTCGCCTTTGCACACTTAAGTGTCCCCCCAATGACAGGCCACCCCTAGACTAGCCATATTCATCCACTGGGTCACTTCTGTTGCCCTTTTCTAGTTATCCTTGGGCCCTAACTTACTATTTTATTTAATCCTTGAGCAGGGACCATGCTAATTTTCTCTGTTCCAATTTCAGTAATATGAGCTGCTGAAGCAAGCATCCTAACTTTCAATAGATATAAACCTGACAATTGTCCCCAGATGTGGGACCCTGTAGTCTTGCACAAAGGAAGGATGATTTCCTCTTTGATTTTCAGGCCCCTTCCTGCTTCTGCCTACTCTTTGTCAGCCGCCCTGACCCCAACACATTAGACCACTGCCTCTAGGAAACAATCTAGCTCCCGGATCCCTTTCCTGGGTCAAAACCGATAGCCTGGAACACAACACCTTCTATGTGGATTATTTTTATCAGAGTGCATTACCTTACATTTCACCACATCGACGTTTACATGCCATTTTGCATCCCACTCAATACCTTCCCTTCAGCTCTCACTCTCTCCTTTGGGAAAGCATTTCCCTACCTGAAAGGGCTTAATATGATCTGCAGTCCTGAAATTTTCACTTTGCTCTACTTCTTCTGGATCACTTATAAAAAATTTAAACCAAACAAGTCCCAGCATAGTCTCTTGGGGCCCCCTGCACTCTTAATCTCCTTTCATTCAGTGAAGTGACCATTTATTTTCATCTGTTGTTTCCTATTTCTAAGTGAGTTCTCAGGCCCTGATAAAAACACCACCCTTAATTCCATGATGTCTCCATTTTCAATGCCAAATATATTGTCCAAAACTTCTGATAGATGAATTATATCCACTGCTTCTCTCAATAATTTGCACCTAATTATCCCCTTATTGAGTACTAGTAGATCACATGGTTGAAACCTTGTAGAAATATTGTTGTTTTTCAGCCAGCAGATAATGTTGCTTACTCCTCTTTCTGTCTTATGAAGCCTCTGGAGTGTACTCCACCCTACCTCCTTACTAGACAGCTGCCTTTTCCACTGCTCGTCGGTACACATTCTTACTCCAGAAAGAGTAAGACAAGTTACCCAGGTTTCTCTGGACATGTACACTTGCTGTTTATGTCTGCACCTCCACCCATCCATCTGCAACCTTGCCTTAAAGTCCCAGCCCAAGCTTTGCTTCTCCAGGAAACTTTCCTTGAATTCTCTAGTCATTTATTTCTCTCTTCTCAGGGGAACATTTTGAGGCAACCCCAGCCAGTTTGCCATTTAAGTTTTTAAAATATTTATAAATTATTTGAGGGAAAGTTGTGGTTCTTAGGCAGGGCCTTCTGCAACCAAAACACTGTATGTTTTTTAGATCTAACACAATCCCCTACTCTCAGTGCTCATTGTTAAGTACTCAAGCATTCAACAATTCTACCCTTTATCCTTGATGCCAAAAAGTTACATGGGATCTGAAATAGATGCTCACGGGCATGTGGATCTCCAGGTCCTTTCTAAACCCTTCTTCAGGATGGGATTGATTGCCTACCTGTCCTTCCTTCAGTGGAAATAGAGGTTATTCCTTTTAGCAGTGGTTCCACAATTTCACCCTTGAGTTTTTTCATAACCCACTAGGTAGGTTGTCATCTAGTGGTAGTGACATGTAATAAAGAGGAATTGAGAGAGGTGGCCCTGGCCTTAGAGACCACCAAGTAAGCACAGAGTAGTACTTAACAGATACTTCTTTTTTTTTTTTAAATTTTTTTCTTTATTGATTTGAGAGAGAGAGAGAAACATTGATGTGAGACATTGATTGGCTGTCTCCTGCACACTCCCCACTGGGGATGGGCCCACAACCCAGGCATGTGCCCTGACCAGGAATCGAACTGGGATCTCTCGGTCCATGGGATGATGCTCAATCCACTGAGCCACACTGGCCATGAATAACAGATACTTCTTGAATTGCCATTAGTGAATTGCCCAAGAACAGTAAACCTGATAGTAGGTGATTCAGAACTAGAACTTTTCTCTGGTGTCCTGACTTCTTAGATCTCCTGACTTCTTCGTTGAAAGCATTTTCAGCGTATTTGGCTTTTGGTTCCACATCTCTCATCTTTCATTACCAAAAGATAAAGACAAAAAAGTTTTTTATTCCATTTGTTTTCTTCTCTTTCTTGAGTCTTTCTTCTGTGTTTTGCACACTGGGGAGGGGGTTTCCACCTATTCTCTAATTGGCTTCCTGTGTTTAGTTTATTTAAAGCATCTCTTTCTCTGATTAGCTGAGTAGAATGCCCCACAAAGTTTTCTTGGCCCTCCCAGTTTCCCATTTGATTCGGAGGAAGGGCAGTACAAGCAGAAACAAGCCAATCAAATAGGCCATATAAGTAAAAGTGACATGCCTGGTCCAAGGGCATAATGGATTCCTGCCCTCTGGACCAGTTTAAGGGATCTGCTCTGAGCAGATGGAGAATGTTCTTCAGTTTGTATCTGTAGTCAAGGGAAGTTAGAGCCCTGAATTAGTCTAGGGTTGGAGTAGGCCTATTAAGAAGCACTATCAGATTCCCAAGCCAAAAATTTATTTCAATGTCCTCATGGCCTCCAGCACACCTTCAGTGTTGTCTAAAAAAAAAATTCTCACTCTTAGGAAGTTCTTCCTTTCACCTAACCTGAATATAGTCGCTGTGTTTTTAATTCATTTTATCTTACCATTACTGTGGTTTTTCTTATTACTATAGGGTGCTTTGTACTTCCACGTGC